TATAAAAAAGGGTACATGCATAAAGAAAATCAAATCCCGTAATATATATATATATATTTATTAATAAATCCTTGCAGTTGCCATTCTTGGGAACTCCGAGTAAGGCCCATTGCTTCCCTGGAAATGTAAATACTTTCTTTCCCTTTTATCAGTTATCAAAAAAGGACGACAAAACTACAAACCTTACTTCCCATAGTTTTCAAATAAATTTCAAACTTCTTTTTGTATTTTTAGGTTGTCAGATTATTCTAACCAAGGACCTTGAAGGACTTGAGGTCACTCTTCCTAAAGCTACAAGAAACTTTTATGTGGATGGCCATGTACCTCAACCTCATTAGATTAGACAATTAACTTTAATCTTAAGAATTTATTCAATATATAGAGGTTATCAGTCAGCTAAGCATCTGATATTGCTGCGTATTTCTACGAGTCATGGAGCATTTTGGCAAACCTATAGGTGAGCCAATGCAAAGCCGTATCAGATGCTTAGCCTACTAATAAGTTGCTTGTCATTGTATTCTGCAAAGAAATGCTCAAACTCTCTCTATACCCTATTGTACCCAGCACAAGCAGGCGATGAGCAGTGCTGATACAGTTTCATATCAGGCATGGCCTTTTTCCATATCACACACTTTCTTTGCAGAATTAAATGATAAAAAGCTTAATAGCCCTTAAACAAAAATTGTTTCAAGTCGAGGCATTTTTGTGTCAATATCAAAATGCCTAAAAACTGACCCAAATGCAACAATAATGTTTGAAGGAAATAGAGTGTAACTCTTAATCTATTGTCTTGCTTGGAAAAAATAAAAGCTGATACTATTCTTTTTGTTAGGGGGGTGGGGGGAGATTACAATAAGTTACTGTATTTATCAATTTTTATCATAAATGAAATAATATTAATTTCATTCCAAGATAATACTATACAATGCACATCTATTTTAATTCTGTTTTATAAATAAAATTTCTGCATTAAAACTGCATTAACACCAGCGAATGTTTTAAGCATGATGGATATTTTTTGAAAAAGATGTTTATAATTTATCTAAAGCTTTAGAAATATTATTATTTTCTAATCTGTAGGGGTGGGGTTGGTCTGAAGAGAGTTTAGGACTCGTACTTCCTAGTTCTATTACAGTGCGGAGACTCGAACCATGAACACAATCTGCAAGGTTTTTTTGACATTTTTTCATAACTCTGCAATCAAAGCTGTCTGTAGAAACAAAGGAATCAAGCATTTTTAGGTGCCATCCAATCACACCAAATAGCAGAAAATCTTTAGATGTTTTATTTTTAGCTCACTCAGTAGAAACTTTCAATAATTTACAGAAATTAATAAAAATATTGTTCATTGACGAAGTAGCTGTTGTATGAAATAATTGATACACTTTATATTGTAAATTTTTAAAAACTTTAATTGCAACAATAACCCAAGAGACTCTGAAATTGCACGAAAAAATGTTGGAACCTCCATAAGAATCTGTCTTCTGATTGGATGATTYGAAAAATGTTAAAAAAACTTGAAGCGTTCTTGGTTCTTGTGTGCGCACAGTAATTAGTTTGAACAACCTCCATGGAATGTGATTATTTTCTCTAAATCATATGAAAAGGAATTTTGGTTACTTGTATTTATAACTGAAGCTTAGTACTAATTTTTAATCATAATAAATGTTGYACGATAAATATTTGTTAATTATTTTGGAAACAGCTTTGATTTTATGCTTGAAATTTTGGAGGAGGATAATTTGGATTATATTACGTCTGGTGAGGGTATTTGGTAGAATTCCAAAAATATCCATACCTCGATCTCCCCATCAGAGGGGGATTGAAATTTCCAAGGGGTGGGAATGTTCTAAGGGGTTGGGAAATGTGACAAAAAATGCCCCACCCCCACCCCAAAAAACTTTTTTTCAATTGAACATCTTAAAACTAGCCTGCGTCACATCTGGAATTTTCTTCGTAAGAAAATTACGGATGTGACGCAGGCTACTTAAAACCCTTTTTTTTTTTTTTTAATTTTTATTTTTTGGCTTATTTACCTCGTAATACTCTGACTGGGATTTTCGTGAAGTTTATCGTGATAGATCTCTCATTCGTGCGACATGCGTGACGTTATGCGTGACCAAAGCGTGACAATCGACATCCAAAAAAGGCCTGGATGCGAAGGATGACGTCACATCAGCTGAGCTCCAAAGTGATCCAAGATGGCGGTCGTAATGGAAGGTCCTCTGTCTAAATGGACGAATGTAGTCAAAGGATGGCAATACAGATGGTTTGTTTTGGACGACAATACGGGTCTATTGTCTTATTACACGGTAAGTACAATGTTAAGCCATTCTACCCTTTGTTCGATATTTTTTAGAGACCTCAAATCGTAGTCTGTCATCATTAATAAGCTTAACTCTTATCTTCATTTTAGTGAAAATGACATAAGTCTGTCTTTACCCACGATTTTAATCTTTGTTTCAAATTTTGAATAGGTTTTTATAATATCTTATCTTCATATGAAAAACCACGAGTCCCAGAAAAATTAAATTTTGTAAAAGAACATTCTTAATTGGATGCCACAAACTAATAGATTATTAATGCTACATCAATTGATTAGAAATGACAATAAAATACAAACTAATTATGAAGTCTTTAAAATATTAGACGCTGAAGTTTGATTACCAAGTTAAGTTGTAAATAACCTGAAAAAAGTTAAATTAAGTTTGATAAATTTTGGAGACCAGACTTTTGCCTATCATAAAGTGTGTGGTTCCAGAAAATAGGTCAGAAAATCGAAAATTCCAGGGGGGAGGGGGGTCCAAGGAAAAGAAAAATACAGAGAGAGCCGATGCTATAACATGTACCACTAGCTACCTGTCCTTTCAAATTCAGCACTTCGTTGCTAGCCATCACGTGATATACATTTTATTTGACTGCCTTTAATCACCAAAAAGTTTGGACATTGTTCTCAGATTTCGGTATGAATGTACCAACTTTTAAATAAATTATTTACTTGATGTTTTTATTCCTAAATACAAGCAAAATATAATTGTTCTTACTTGATTACATCTTTTCTTGCTGCTGTTAGAGAAACAGATAAACRAACTAATTAAATAATATGGGAATCCATGAGCAATGTCCGACATTTTGTCAACTGTAGCACAATCCAACAGAATCTGTATCATACGACAGTTAATGCTCAAAAGGCAGAGTTATGGTAATGTAACAATTTTTTAATTATTTTATCAATTATTTTTGTATATTTATTTAGTCCAAGGAAAAAATGATGAGAGGTGCAAGACGGGGCTGCTTACGATTAAAGGTTAGACAAAATATACTTAGAAATGAATATCAGAACTCAGCATTGATGATAGACCACTAGTTGGATTTGACTAAATAAATTTATTTACCATAATCACTGAACCTGAGGCATATAATGGTTTTTTAGTATGATTTTAGACTGAATATCAGGGTACAGAGTCCACAAACCATTCTAAAAAGCCCGGGGGAGGGTACTCCCATATATGGACTATACGGGGATGATCCACTGAACAGGGTATGGTTTTTCGAGCTTCTTGTCATAAACA